AAACTGCTCAGATGCAGCGGGTGGGGATTGCTCTTTGATGGACTCTCAGGATTCATCCCAGCTTATGCTTCTTCCTGAGTAGATGATACCCATAATGTCACTTCCGCAGTTCAAAATATATTGTAATTACTGTTGGAAATCCCAGATGTCCTCTCCAGATAACTGGTCTTCAAAGATTTGGCAGAGAGACTACAGCTGCAGAAAAGTGACACTTATGGTAACCTCTGAAGTTTTACTGATACTACCAAAAAGAAAAAAAAATTATTTCTTCATTGACCCTTTCATATTACATAATTTTGAGGCTTCTATCAGACAGATATTTTTCAAAGATTGTCAGAGATGTAGTAGCATAGCTTTAGAATTTCATGTTTTCATGGCAAAATTCGCAGTGATTACGAAGGGGCGAGGATTTTCTTTCTGTTAAGTGGAAAAACAATGTTGATAATTAGGTAAAGTGTAGAAACATTCTATTTACAGTAGACAAACAGTACAGTGATTGAATTTGAAAGGGAAAAAATACCAGCCAAGGAAGCGAGCTTGGATTTGGTAGTTGCAATTCACTAATCAGAAAATAATTCAGTAGCGCTGAACAAAAAAGGCATTTTTATCACCATCAGTTTGGAGGCCGCATTGTCTATCCTACCGTTTCATGTCAGAGAAGAAGGAATTTTACCAAATGTTTCATTTATTAGAAAGTGAATGATTCTTTGCAGCCATGTGGGGCTAGCCCATGTTTCAATAAGACAAATTGCATTGTAGCATTCCACTGGCAGCCAATGATAACTCATGATCCAGACAGAGTCGGTTATACCAGAATGGATGAAAAGCAGGAGCAAAAGGACACATAGCAGAAGAAAAGAAAATGCTTCAAGAGCTGTTATTTAAAAAAAAAAAAAAAAAAAAGAAAAAAGAAAACAACAAAACCTAAACAATATTTTAGCTACTATTTAAAAATCTTTCAATTAAGATTCTGCACAGCATTGCAAGCAGAGTGTGGCAGAATAAAGAGGATCATGCTATCTCTTTCCCAGTAGTAAATTATCATATTTATACTCAAAAACATGCCACTGTCAACTTCAGTCATTTGTGTAATTGGAAAAAGGTAAATGATGTAGCAAATGAGACCCTACAGTCAGGTTTTGTTCCAAAAATGAAAAAAAAAAAAAGTAATGGCAAGTGGTGCAGGTTTAACATGAATTAATGTCAACTGTGAAAAGCAGTGCCTAAGACAACAAAATCAGACTGTTCTTGACCTTTAGTTAATATTGATAGTTTATCACTGGAGAACTCATTGATTTATTTTTCAGCTCATATCTGATTATCACTTTAAAATAAGTCTGAATATTTTAAAATAGCTCGGTCGCCCATCTTCCAGTTCCCACTATTCCAGATTACACATGAATGTTTCTTTATTTTCCAAATACTGCTTTTTAAATAGGTGACCCCTCAGCAGCAACCCCCAAGGTGATGGGTTGTTTCCTGCTTGCAGAGATGCGTGTCATGAAGTGCTGCCTCTGCCCGTCGGCTTTGTTCTTGGGGATCCGCGGAGCAGGAAGGGTATTGAAATATACAGGAATCTTGTTCCCGGGGAACTGACAGGCAGACCTGAGGGACAGTGCGAAGTGCATACCTGGTATGTCTAATTTTAGGCCTGCCAGCCCTGACAGTGGTCCTAGAAAAAAAAAAAAAATCTATACTAATTTCTCGGTGACATACAGAGCTGTAAACTGCAGCATTTTTCGTTCCACTACCCAAATGTTCTTGTGCATTTTTTTTCAGTATTATTTAAAAGAACTGTCAAGCCTTCAGCATTTAACAAGTATTTTTAAACTGTGTTTTTCAGTGTAAACCTGCCATGTATTCAAGGTATTGTTGCATGAAAAAGCATAAACTAAAGTATCATATCAGAAAAGAAATCAACATTAGATATAAAACCAACTTCATTTTATTGCTTAACACTAATATTGTTCCCCATGGGAGAAGTGTTACAGTTTGATGGGTTCTGGGGGCCCTGTGTGTGCTGGTGTAAATCAGGAATCCCCTATGAATTTTGATGAGGCTCTGCAGTTTTACATCAGCTCAGGATTTTCGACCGCAGGTTCAGCATGTACACTGTGTTGAAATAAAGGTGCAGTCATTTTAAATATAATTGAGTAGGCTCATAAGAGGTTCCACTTAGAAGGTAAATTATGGTAACAAGTCAAGAGTGTACTCTGTGTAGTTTTCATTTCAAGTGTATGGTCTTCTGTATTCACTTAACTAGACACACAAATCTAAGCAGACAGATGAGATAGAGGCAATCAAAGAGAAAAGCTTTATTTGGAGCTTATGGGAGTATTGAAGTTTTATTTTGTAGTGTTTCCCCATGAGGCAATTTCAGAAAAAGCTGAAGTGATGGATCACAAACAATTTAATATCGGAATTGCTGGCTGTTGATCAGTGTAAGTTTGGACTCCTCCCTGTATAATTCTGAAAATCTTTTCCCCACTTTAAATATTTAGCAAAAGGGCTGGGGAAGGAATTGCTCTGCAGATTTTCTGAGTGTACTCTGCTGTTAAACACCCCGTCTCAGTCAGGAGGAACTGAATGGTGCTGATGCCTTTCATGCCTGTGGATGAACAAAAACCACCATATAATGCTTAGGGTCTTATTCTTTCCATAAAGCAGTTTTTGCTTCGGGGAATGAAGAAGGTCTAGAAAAACATTCTCATAATATGAGAGAAGTGGCAAAGGAAGCATTGCAGGGCATCAGTGTAATGGCTTGTGTTAACAACGTGGTATCGTTTAATGCTTATGTTGTGTTACACTTCTATGGCTTTCAAGTGCTTCTACACAGTTTTGAGTCCACAACAGCTGCTTTTTTAATATCCACAATTTTGTCACTTAATGTTCACACACTTACCTGAGGTGACTTTAAGGCCAGTTGTATCAATGTGTGCATATAAAGGTAACTTTGATCATTTGAACATCAGTTACTTACAACTACAAGCATTTGAAGGGGTAGGCCCTTAAACAAAATCAGTAGCCTCTACCTCCTCTAGAAATGTTCTCACTAGACTTTTTATACCATCCAGTATTTTTATTTACTTTACCCATAAAGAGTAGTTCCTTCTCACAATGAAAAAAGCTCTAAACAATTTTATTTTTACTTAAATTTCCTTCTGCAGATTGCCTCATGTCCTGATAATGTTTTTCCTTTTAAAAATTCTGCTTAGTTTTCTAGCTTCAGAAGCTGAAACCACATATAGCCATTGAATATGGCATATCTGACTCATTTATCCCATAAACGTTTAGCACCAGTGATATGGAAATGAACTGAACTGATAATGCTGTGTAGCGGCACAAACAACAGTCAGCTTGTCTTTAGAACCATGGAATTGTTAAGGTTGGAAAATACCTCTGAGATCATCAGTTCCAACCATTAACCCAGCCACCACCATGTTCGCCACTAAACCACATCCCCAAGTGCCACATCCTGTTGTCCCAATACATAATGATTAATTTCTGACATTTGGTACAGAGATTACGAAGCAAGTGGAGAAAATTAGGGAGGATTTTTATTGAAGAAAGAGACTTCTGAAGAAACAGTGTAATCAGTGTCAATTCCTCTACTCCCCAAAGAAGTCTAGGAAGCATCATCCACTCTCGCTTCAGTTGCAGCTGAATGCTTTCTAAGGCAATGTATCATCTTACTTTTGATCAAGGAACTAACTAGAAATAGGGCAGGTAGCTGGAGAAAGTTGATTCGGGAAGCACTAGATTTTCATATATATATATATATACACACACATATATATTCACGTATATATATACACACACACACATATGTTACTTCTTCTTCCCTCAGTCACCTCTTGATACTGCCTTTCTTCTACCACCCAGAGACAAGATGTGTCAAGGACAGTACATCAGAGTCAATGCTGCAGGCCTGCTATAGTGTATGTGATGATGCTTTCCAGTTGACCTTGGGTGTTTCTTTTTACTCTGGAACATCTGAGCTAATTTCTGGCTCCACGAGACTGGAAGATGCTTTGCAAGGGGCACTGGGAATGTTATTTAGCTCTGCCAATAAGGGTGTCATTTGGTTTGCAGAGATTTGTGAACAAAACCCAAACCAAATCACAACTCTTCACTTAAATTTGTAACTGGTCACATTTCCAAAGCTAGGGATTTTATAGCATTCAAAAATCTCCAGTACAAAAGACAAGTGGAAAGGTTTGTGTAGCTTGAAATCAGAACTATTCAAATGCAGAAAATCCGTATGAAAACACGTACTTTAGTTTACGGCCGTACAAGCCAGTCCTTGCTTTGAATGCTCCATGGACTGTAATTTTTTTATTTTTTATTTTTTAGCTTTGAGTTCTGTTGAATTGGAAGCTTCTAACAAAGCAGGCGAGTTGGGTGCAATTTCTTTGGAAATACTTCACATTGCTCTGTGTCTGATTCTACTCGTGCTTCACTTAATAAGGAGGAGACTGATCAGCATCTAGAACTTCTTGCAGAATTAGCGGGTAGACAGCTAGAGTGTGGATTTACACACTGTAAAGACTGAATATTCTTGATTACAGCCTGTATTCTAGGTGCTGTTGTGCCATCTGAAGGGGTAATCACCAATTTCACCTATAGCTGCTGGACATTGCCCTGTAGCAGAGCCGACCCCGTAGCAGAGCTGACTGGAAAGGCTGGGGAATACCCCCGCTAGCAATTCAGCAGGCATTAAATCATCAGTGGAATTAATTCAGAGAAAACACTGGTGAAAGTAGGATCAGAATGAGCAGCTATTACCTATATAAATAAATAAACCTGTACCCCTTGTAGAAATATAACAGAGCTAAAAAAATCCCTTCCCTACAGTAGCATTTCTCAGCATACCTTAGTTATTGACAGAAATCCTTATGTGAGTCCTTTGCCGTGCTAAAATCTACTTTCTTGGAAAATGTAGAACAAATACTCAGGCTGTGATCTCATTCCTACTAGTGCCGGTGACAGGACTCCCAGGGGCTTCACTGCAAATTAGATCCCCTGGAAAGAAACAGAGAGCCAGAACGGATCCGACCTCTCTGCCGTTTCTGGGAGCGAGCTCGTATTCTTCCCTGCCCTCCTCGCCTTGCCTCTGACAACTTTTCCAGTAAGATCTTCCCTCCCGTGCGTGCCTTCTCTTCTCTTTCCCTCCCACCTCCCAAAAGAAGTTCAGGACAGGTATTGAACGGGCTGTTAGGCTGCTCCTAAGGTACAGCCTCTGTGAGCTCTCTGTCAGTGGCTATTCCCATTCCCTGAGTTCTGTAGGTTATTTTTCGAAGTATGTTTTGTTTTAATTCCGTTTTTCTCAGTCTCTGTTCTCATAACTCCATCCTGTCGCTCTTTTGATCAGTTATACATCAACTGTAACATAACTCTGTGATTTCATTTTGGTGCCGCTTACTTCATCCAAAAAGGAACTCGCTCTTCAAAGAAAACTTTTATTTCATTGTCTGCTACATATGCAAGTATTCCCTAAGGATCGGGTTATTTATTATTTTGCTCCCCCTCTTTGCTTTCCCCGTTCCTCTCCAAAAGACTAACAGACACTAATCTCCTTTCATCAGGTTCCCTTCTTCCTAATTTTTTTTTCTTTTTGCACAAAATGCTCGCCACTACCTTTAACACCTTATTGTGTCTGGAGTGATAATTACTTTCAGTTGCTGCAGCTGGTGCATGGAAAGGCGTGCGGGCCCTGTAAATTGGGAATGGGCAACCTGGGTGGGATTGCAGGAAAACACAGAGATCTGCAAAATCAGAAACCACAAGTAAAAGAGGGATAGTTGTGCTTTTCAAATGTTTTCTTTTTTTTTTTTTTTTTTTTTTTTTTTACATTGAACTCATCTTTGAGACGTATTTCTGGTGAATCACCTCCGTGACAATTTGTGGTTCCTTTGTTAGAGAAAAGAACTGGCTGATGCATGTGATGGAAAATAGGAAAAATATGAGTTGGTACCTGACACGCTTAGTTAAAGCTCACATTTGGAAACAACACACAGAGACATATCTGAATGTGGGAAACATGGGTCTGTCAGCAGGTTTTAAGATCTTCTCAGGCATTATTAATTCTTATTTTAATGTTTACAGTGTTTTTCTGAACTCACCGAGTCTTGATTCAATCTTTCACTTCTCTCTTGTTTTAAGTGTAGGATTGAGTAGGAAATTTGGGGTTATCGTAAAAATGAACATGAAGACTGGGTTATAACCTTTCAAAAATAAGAAGATTTGCCAATATATATTCCCCATTTAGTTCTTATATAAGTATTAAGCAGAAATTATTATCGGTATTATTAGTGTGTTTTTTAATGTATTTTGCCTGTTGCAGTCCCTCATAGCATTTTGAGATGTTTTATACTCCCACTAACCATAAGGAATTTGGCACAAACTGTTCACTACATAAAATTGGGTTTTTATGAGACTGGTTTATACACGTTTTCTTAGATTTCTTAAAGTAAGAAGTACTAAATTATTTAATATACCACTTGAGATGCTTTTAATAAAATGTTTGCCATAATCAGCACTGCTTTGGGCATCCTGGCTTGAAACTCCATGTTTTGTCTGCTTTCTGCTTTCCCATTCTGTGCTGGAGGCTGGCAGATGTTTCCCATGCCCACCTAAGGTTAGGAATAAGATTCAGGTTTGGAAAAGTGGGGTCTGTAGTGCAGGAGGGGCAGTGGTCTTTTGCAACTTTCAGAAAGGTGAACAAAAAGCGTGACTAATCTGGGAGTCTGTCTTCAGTTCCCAAGCTTAGTTAGGTTAGAGTTAGGGTTAGGGTCAGGAGAAGTGTCCAGTGTGACAGGCTGTGGTATGTTCCAGTTTCTGCGGGGGAAACCTGATGTCCTTGTCTGCTTTAAGCTGGGGTGAGGCTGTGAGTTAGAAAAAACAGGGAGATAGCAGCCAAGATGAGTGTGAGACTTCACAAATTCCTGGAGATAAAACAAGAGCAAAGCATCACGAGCTTTGAAGGAATTATTCTTTTTGATTTGCGGGCAGCGCTGGGTTCCCAGGCCTCTTTGAGTCAGGGTCTGGGGCTGGGCTAAGGTTATGGTTAGGATTAAGAAGAGTTAAGGCTTTTAACTTTGACAAACTGTGGTATTTTGCTATTTCCAGAAAAGTAAATCGACGGAAAGTATCAGTATCTTCAAATTCCTTAATCATTATTTGTGGGCACTGTGAGTGTGTGGACATGTTTTGACTAAGAGTTAATATTCCAGTTGGGTTAAGTAAGCAGGGGAAGGTACAGTCAGAATAATAGGGTACCCACTTTCCAGAGGATAAACTGAATCATTATCTTCAAATAATTCCTTATTTGTGGGCCATTTGCACTAGGAGCTGAAAAATTAATTGTTTTGGTATCATGGCATGCTAAACTTCTTAGGGGTACTGGCATGGGGCTATAAGAAAGGCTGCTAATTCCAGAATTAAGATATGACTGGTCTGAGATTATGAATGGAGGAAATTCCTATTTTGTGTCAGGAATTTTGAAAAATGTAAATAAGGCTTCTTAGTGCAGTCAGAGAGCCCACCTCTTCCCACACTGGTACCTCCATTTAGCTGTCGTGTGACAGCTGCTTTCTACCTATATTTAAGAAAAAATATTCCTTTTTCTATGTGGTAGCTTTCCACTGAGTGCCATTTTTCCTGATTTGGCCTCTTTGAACAGTTCTCTAGGTGATAAATGCTTAAAGAGCTTCAAGATTTCATCACTGTATTTAGTCAAATCCCAAGTTCAAATGTCATTTTCAGGGTAGCGATGACATAGACTTTTTTTTTTTTCTATTGGGGGTGAAAGAATCCACGTTTCTTCTTGCAGCAAGTTTCTCTATTATAATTTCCAAATAGGCCTTACAATTCTGAGTTGAAGCCAAAATCTTTGCTGGAGTTGAACAAGAATCCCAGGCACTTGACCAAAGCAGTATTTCAAGAATATATTGTATTTATTTGAAAGACGATAATGCAATGCGGTCATCGTTTGCTTCACTACAGGTATAAATCCTCCAAAACCATTGCAGATGTGGCAGGGATATTGCAACCCATTAACCTGACAGAACAAAACTGTTTTTCTCTTGCAAGGCTTGTCCGACTCGGTCTTTTTCTTTCTTTGCTGCGAGCGTGGTTGTGTCTGTTGGCTCTGTGTGTACATTGTGGCGTTGAGTTCCGTTGTCTAGACCATCTCCCTGTGAGTTAATACTGGAATGGAGTGGCCTTACATCCCAACATCTTCCATCCTTTTTCTGTGTGTACATTAAACTCAGCCAACTGAGGTCTTACTCAGAGTCTGGCACTTTTATGCTCTTGAATGGGTATTTTTCATGAGTTTGTATATAACTCAGTAGGAATGGTAGAATCTGTCCCCCCCAAAATAATTTAGAAATCACTATTTATTATGGCATTTTAGCATGTATTCAGGATTCCTCCTTGTTGCTGAGTTTGTGTCCAAAATGGAATTACTAGTCTGCGTCTTTGCTGATTGTGAATATGTCCATGAGGCTGAATTTCATATCTACCCATTTATGAATCTGGCGTATATGCTGAATGCAGCATTTTGTGCAGGTCACGTGTTGTATACAAAACATCTGATAAAATGCTGCTCACAGTCTTACAGATCTTAGAAATCCTTTCCATATGTCTAATCTTAAATCCTTTCCATATGTCTCCATCTATACATGAGCACCAATTAGTCAATTAATCTGCCACCTTTATTTAATTAGATAATAAAGAAGAACTTTTTGAAGTTAAATCTTATTTCATTTTTCCAGGAATCAAAAATGACAACTAGTAGCAGCAACAAATTACAAGATAAATTTCCTAATCCACTCAGTGAATACATTAATATTACAGTATTTGCTGAGTTAAAACAAGTCTAACATTCAGTATTCCTCTTTGCAAACAAAATACATTTGCGTGAATCCAAATAATTTTTTTTTTTTTTTTTTACAAAAATGGCTCTTTGTAGCAGTCCTGGAACAATTGCAAGACATTTTGACTCTTCAGTGTCCTTAGAAATTAACCCTGTGTTAATGAAAGTTCATAAGCAAGAATCCCTATGCAATGGAAATCCTCCCATGCCCTCCTCAGGGCAACTCTCCAGCCGCTGTGCCGTGGCTCAGCAGCGCAGGGTAACCAGACCAGGGGCTAAGGTGCTGGCTCAGTATGTCTATCTCCATTGAACCTGTCTCATTAGCATGCCTCTGGGTTCCCTGAAGACATTCCATTTCATCTGAAAGCAAAATATAACAGAAACTGGATGTTTCTGGGTTTGCTGCTGGCAGCTGTTACCTTTCTGGGGAAAAGGAAAAAAAAAAAAAATTAAAAAATTCCTCTGCCAGGTCCAGACCTAGAATAAATGAAAATAGCTACACTGAAGCCCACAGAGCAATATCACTTTGCACCTAGGGAAGATTTGTCCAGTGTATTTCTTACTTCAACTGCAAATAAACTCAATATAGAGGCATTAGTATTTTTAAAAGGTGAAAAGGATGTTATTTGCCTTTTTCTTGTAGCAGTACAAGAAAATGATTTTTTTTTTCTCTTTTCCACAGGAAAATAGTTTTCTAATAATAGCCCAGTATTAAGTGTCAGGTAGTTGCTTTATGATTTTCTGTGCTTTATTGCAGTCAGCTATTGGGAACGGGGTCAGATTTCCAACTCACTGCAGAAGAGCTGCTTTTATTGGGTTGAGCATTGTTGTTTTCTGTCCATGAATTATCAATTGCTTTGAAGACTGATCACTTCCTTTCGTGGGGATACTTGATGAACACACAACTTTTTGCTGGTACCTGAAGCCTTGTTAGCACAGAGCTTATTGAATATAACCCCCTTTGTTTGTAAGTGCAGAGATGACAGAGATTTGGAAAGCGACTCAGTTACATTTGGATTTTTTTTCTCTGAATTCAGAGTGGACTGAACATAAAAAACATTAGAGGCTCTTATGGTTTCACCTCATGTCAAAAAGAAAGTACTTGAGGCGCTCTTAACAAAATCATGACTAAATAATCAAATCGCAACATGATTTATTTTATGTATAAATAAAAATTTCAAAATGAACTGTCCTTGGACAGGTCTTTTTATAGGAACCTGAATATGGAGAAAATCCCTATAAGTCCTAAA